GGTTAGAAAACACTTATTCCATACAAATTCAAAAAATTTGAAATGTTCCTCCTGTGCATGTGTGTATTTTCTCCAGGTATACCCGGCTTCCCAGGTACACAGTCAAAAAAAACATCAGTGTTTGGTTAATTGGCATTTCTAAATAGTCCTGAGTGAGTGTGTGTGCATGTGGTTGTGTGTCTTTGTATGTATCTGTGTTGCCCTGTGATAAACTGGTAACGCATTCAGGGTGTACTCCGACTCTCACTGATATGTGGCATTAAATTAGATATTGTATAAAAATAAACTGCAGCCTGCTTTAATCAATCAATTTGTTTGTCAACTACAGTTTGCATTGTAATCCAGATTTCCCTTTTAGTACAAACCGTTCATCACATACATCGGGGTGGGGGGGGTGGGCAGGGGGAATGATTCACTGAGGCCATGGCTGCTGCAGAAGGGCGTTTCCCTTATAGTGCTACCTCTGTCTCTGTGGAAAAATAGCAGCACAACAAAAAGTCATATAACATGAGACAAAAATTACAGCAGAAGGGAAACATTTGAAGCTGGAGCCACATGAAAGTGGCTAGAGGATTAGAGCAGTGCCCTTGAGCTCTCAGAAGGTTGCAAGTACCCGGGTTGATCCCCACAGTCTGCACTCTAGCTTCCTTACTGCTGTTTTGTACTCAGAAGCTAGGTGGTCTGCATGTGTGTGACAGATATGGCGGCATACATGGACACAATGTATCCATTTTATAATTCTGAAAATCACATAGTGTGCCGAATTTCTTAAATCACAAAAAAAATAATAATAATAAAATCTCAGAAAGGGTAATTTACTCAGTTCATTTGTACTACACTATATCTAATTCCACCATTTCTTTTTTTTTTTCATTTTTACTTAACATTGCATATTTTCCTTTAAATAAATTTTACATTTTTTCTATGACTTAACAATGTTGAATTGTTTGCAATACCTTGCAATATCATGATAGTGAAGACATTTAGATATTTTTCTCCTTACTTTCACTTTTCAAAAAAACAACCTTGTGCTGTTTGACAAACTGTCTTTCAATCCCAATAGAGTAAAAAAAAAAAACAGCAGTGGAGGGGGCTTTTACTGTAAAGGTGGGATTTCTTGTAAACCCATGGAAAGAAACAGAAAGTGAAAGTAGATGTTAGAATATAAAGGGAGTCGCCAGCCCTTCCAACATCACTGGTCCTCAGCATCACAAACATCAACAACTGGCATTTTCCTCTGCAATTATTTCATTTGAAAGCTAATGTCTTTTTTTTTTTTTTAAAGACGTCTTCTTCAAAAGGTAGGATGCTTTGCACCTCTTTTAATACTTTAACAAAACATTGTATAAAAGATTGTAATATTAACATCATAGGATTAAGAAAAAAAACAGTAATGTCAT